GTGATGCAGGTGCGCCTTGCTCCGGGGCAGAAGGGGGCAAGCAGCAGCAGGACATAGCCCCTGCTCCCAGCGCAGCCACGCCTGCGTCCTGCACCCCCACAGCCCTGCTAGGCAAGCTACAGCCGAGGCATGGGGGTGGGGGATGCGGGCACTGCCGCCACATGCCCAGCTGGGGCCGGTGGGTGCGGGCACTGCTGCTGCTTCCCCAGTTGGGGTGGGGGGGTGTGGGATGTGGGCGCGGCAGCACTGGGAGCAGGGGCTATGCCCTGCTGCGGCTTGCCCCCTTCCACCCGGAGCGAGCCACGTCTGCATCGCACCCCCCTGGCCTGGTTGGGCAAACAGCAGCAGGGCATAGGCCCCGCTCCCAGTCCTGCACCCCCCTGCCCCAGCTGGACAGTTTGTCCCACCCAGCCCCAATCCCTTCCTCCCTCATGTCCCTTCTCTCCCCCCTCTGCCCACCACAACAGACTTACCAGCTGAAGGCAGCTGTGTCCAGTGGGCTGAGGACTGCTGCCTGTTTAGTCTATGGCCGACTCTCCGAAGCGGCACCGAATTTTTGGATCCGATTCAGCTGAATCGAATCACTGTCTCTCCGAATCGGTCAAATCTGAAGCGAATGCTTGCCACTTCATGCAGTTCTAGTGATAACACTACTGCATTTTCTTAACCCTCTCCACCTGATTGTTTCTGCCTGGTTCATTTTCTTGCAAATTCATGATATAAAATAGTACAGAATATGTCGGGCACTTCCTAAAAGGGAACTTGATGCCAACCTGGGTGACCCATAGAAAGGTGGTGGCTTTCCTAAACATACCAGATAAACACAACTTGTAATACAGCAAAAGGAATGTGCAGAAGGGAAGGTTATAGGGTCCCAGTGTTTGGAGGGGTATGGAGTAGTATAATCAGAATGCTGTTCTGTCTTAGCATATGCTCATGTTATCTTACCAACAATGGTAAACCCAGAGCTCTGTCTCACCCTTACTGAAGTTCTGTACCTTGCAGATGCCTTTCACTTGTGCTGAGAAACCATTTTCATTAATTTAAAATCTCCTCCCAGCCTACTTGAGCTAAGCAAGAAACTAGCTGTGTCATCTTAATTGCTGTTCTCAATTTACACTGTGGAGGTGGAATTTTAACTTCCTGTCCTCTGGGAACAATAGTTCAGCACCTACCTCTAGGTACTTAGAGGCATACTATATCTTGATAGTATATAATGATGATTAAACTCTTGTGCAATTATAGGCTGCTCAGCATTTGCCCTTTTTGGTTTCAAAGCTAAGTATTTAAATATGGTGTGTTTAAAGTACCCATACCACATAAGAATCAATAGAAACAGCTCTTATTTTCTTTTTACAGAAGCAGAGCATTTTGGCAGCAGAAAACAGCCTTTTCAGCAGCTACCTCCAGTTCCTAGACAAAGGGAAGACTTGGTCCAAAGTGTTGGTCACCATCCCCAAGACTGAACCCCTCGTCTTATACCTGCAAGGTGTCAGTCAGGTAAAAGTAATGTCCACAGAGGCATCATTCAGCAAAAAAGTATAAATTTCACTATGTCAATCTGGGAAATAGGTCAAGGGATTTGGCTTACTTTCAACAGCAGAAATGAACTTGGTGTTCTGAATTTAGCACAAAGCCTCAGAGATTTCAAATTTCCATCTTATCTGTAGATGAAGATTATGTGATTGCAATCAGATGTCTAGTTTCATCTCTCTCTTTTTTAAAGGAGAAGTGGTAGCACAAAAAGGACAAAGCAATGATAATTATTTCAGTTAACGTTTATTTTCAAAATAAACACTCAAAGGTTCTATGGATCAGTTATCTGGGGAAAATGTTTCTAGTAAATGCAGAAGGTGGCAAAGCAGTACTAATAAGATGGTGCTACTTTAAGCCTTTGTACTTTAATGCTGCTCCAGCTCTGGAGTGAATTTACACAGATACTAATATTTCCCAAGGCCTGGGATCTGGACTATGCGCAGTGAAACCAATGTGTCTTAACAGCTGCTATTGTTTTAATTGCTTTGTTTGTAAATGACTGGAAGAATGCACTGTGGTAAATTAGGTGATAATTTATACAGTGGATTTTTAGAATGCATGTCAAAACTTGTTTGTGGTGAGTCAAACTGAACACAAAATGATAGAATCAAATCCTAGTAGAATGACAGCAGTGAACGTTAAAGCCCTTCAGACTCAGAGTAGAATTGCATCTGTTTCAAATTCCAATGGCATTGCTTTAATTTGGGTATATTGGGATAGAGGGGAGGGATCATGGGCCAAATGGAGCTTTATGTTACCAGGGGCAAGTGCAGTGATGTTGATGGATTTGCCTTGGATGAACACCAATCTATTTGACAGCATCAGAAAACAAAATTTGGCCTTTAGCTACTGTTATCCATGACTTGTTATATGGAGAACTTTACTTTCTACAAGTATAAGTATTTGTATGCCACTCTCAAAAACATGCATCCTATGAGAATGCATACCACCTCTAAGGTCTTTAAATTGACCCTTTGTAATGCTTTGAATGCAACATTCAGTAAGCTGAAGTTTGAATTACAGGACATGGACACATGCTGCTTTTGCTTCAGCTGGATTTCACAGTGTACAGGGTAACCTTCCAAGTGGTTCTAGGGGTTTTGGGGTTGCCAAGCTCCCACTGGAGCTTTCCAACTGAAATAACCAGCTGAAAAAGAAATTCCCTTAGACAGGACAATATTTCTAATACAGGAGCAGCTAATTTTGAGATTTTTCCAAAGGCTATTACAGCAAGGGCTAATTTTGAGATTTTTCCCAGAATATTGGGTAAAAAAACCTTAAAAGCAGCAGCACAGAAAAGTTGTCTTCCTACCAAATTAGTCAGTTGAGGTACAATTATCCTATACAGAAAGTACAAGGTCTGTGTTTTTTGTAATGAAGCAATGGAATAAAGCTTTATGCAGTGAGTCTCTGTACAGAGTAAATTTCACCCTCAAGGGGTGTGTCTACACAAGATGCTTTACTGTGTAGTTGACTAATCTACTCAGTAAAGCATCACCATCTACACATGTGCACCATTTACCGCACAGTAGATACTGCATAGTAATTCTTGTATAGATGCTGACTGGGAGCAAATTTGCGCCCAGTCAGCCTAGGAAGCAGGGTGTCACAGGGGACAGGGAGCTATCTGTCCCTGTCCTGGCACCGCTTAGCTCCCCCCAGGAACTGGGAGCTGGGAGCTCTCTGCCACCTGTCCTGGCTCCCAACTCCCAGCACAGAGCTGGCAGCTCTGGAAGACAAGCGGGTGCTAGAAACCCAGCCCTCATCTGTCCCCTAGAGCAGCTCTGTGCCGCATGGAGCTGGCTGCTCCAGGGAGCAGGTGGGAGCTGGATTCCCAGCCTCTGTCTGCTCCCTGGAGCAGCCAGCTCTGACTCAAGGAGAGGAACTTGTAGCAAGCCCTGTGTCCCTACCCCACACCTGGCAGGAGTCTCCCTGGCAGCTGCCCCACACCCAGGATAATCCTCAGCAAGCCTCCTGCTGCTGCAGGGGCAGCTGTCTCCTGGCCCAGTGCACATCAGGAACCTGTCTTAATGTATATGGTGCCAGGAGACAGCTGCTGCTGCAGCCAGAAGAGCTCTCTTTGCTCTGTGCCCACTGAGACAGGCCCTGTGCCCCTTGCCGGACCCCAGGCTAGAACCAGAGGGAGCCTGGAGCTCCCTCTGGTTGCTGCAGGGGGACCAAGCAGGACAGGAGCAGCCCTGTACCAGGCTGCTCCCAATGGGAGCAAAACTGCTCCCAACAGGGAGCACATGTAGACCTGCTCCATGGAAGGCTTTATAAGGAGCTTTGTAAGGAACTTAATTCCGTACTGTAAATTAGTAACATGTGTAGATGTGCCCAAGGAGCATCATTTGTTATAAGGTCCAAGCCCTCTCGTCTGTGCAGGTGTGTGGTAGCTTGACTCCAGCAAAATCATGTAGCTCCATTTGCCAGGGAAAGAAAAGTTGGGACCTCCCATGTAAGGTCCAGAGGCGGGTGGGGTGGGGTGGGGTGGGGTGGGGCCCCAGATCTCCTTTTTTTTCCTTGGAACATTTTCATGCACCCCAGTTGAGAAGAGTTTGGAGGAAAGTCAGGAGAAGAGCTGCAAATACATTTAAAGGCAGTATACATCATTTTCAGTAACTGCTACAAACCATGTGGACATAGAGCAGTTTCACTTGCACTGTGTGACTTGAAGGAAGTTCTTCCATGTAGGTCCTCATTACAGTCTAGTATCTCAGGGCATCACTAATAATGATCCACACAACAGAAACCACTTCTGTCTGGTCCACAGTAGAACAATAACAGCTGTAAAAATGTTAAATCATTTTCATCATATATTAATAGGAGAAACAAAATCGGTGCCAAGGTACCATATTCTTTTCCTGTGCCCTGCCATATTTGATCTTGAACCCATGGTGATGTGATTAGCAGGACACTATATTAGGGGGAAAGGCTGCCTTTGACACTGAGCATTGGTTTTATGACGGTTAAATTTAATAATTAGTACCCCTGACTGTTTCAGATATGGGATAAATCAGTCGACAAAACAGCAAGAAAACACCTAGTACAAGGTTAATCTGTCTTGTATTCAATAACATTAATCCTGGATTTACTATCAGAAATCAGCAGTCACTGGCTGGGATCATAAAAAATGACAATGAGGACCTATTTCATGACGTGCAGCAAAGAAAAAGGAAAAAAATTATAACATAATTTCTTTCTCAATTCCCTTTATGAACACAATTTTCTGTATGCTTCTAATTCATGTATCATATAATATACTTTCTTTTAAAAAAAGGCTTTTACAAAACTTCCCCTCCTGGCATTTAGATTAATGAATTCTGCATCCATTCTTAAATACTGTATCGTAGGTGTTATTAGTGTTTAGATATCAGTCTGACTTCATCCCATCTCTGATAAGCTTCTATGTGTTATTGCTCCTGCTGACATACTGGGCAGGTTCATTAATGCACTGTGGTTATGGCGCATTTAGTTTAATACTTGTATAATCAGGTACTAAATAAATGCTCAGTAACCACAGTTACTGCACAGGAAGTGCGGCTGGTGAACTCAGACAGGTGGGGTGGTAGAGTGTCCCACGGGAGCGCTGGCAGGGTTTGCAGCCTCCCTGCTACTGGCCAGAGTACCCAGCCAGCTGCAACACCCCCTCCCGCTGACTCTCAGCCAGCTGCAGATCCCAGCCTGCTCCCCAACTGGCTGCAAACCCTGCCCCACCTTGCTCCTGTGGGATGCTCCACCGCCCCACCAGTCTGCGTTCACCAGCCATGCCTGCTGCACGGTAGTGCCAGCACATTTCTTTTTAGTGGTGCTACTGCCCAATAGTGTATTAGTACTGTTTCCGCTGTGACACACGCTATTGCATAGTATTATTAGGCTACTGGGCAGTTGGTGTCTCATGTAGACATGCCCATTGAAATTAGAAAGCATGAGATTAGCAGTGACAGAGCAAAAGTTTGCTGAATTCATGGTCTGGAAATGTTTTGGGGGAACCTCCTCAAATTTCCTAATATATAGGACAGGGGAGGGCAATTATTTCATCTGGATGGCCACTTAATGAATTTTGGCAAGTAGTTGAGGGCTGTAATGGTTGCCCCATCCCTTCCCAGGTGCCCTGCCCCCTGGTTGCCATATTGGGACTGGAAGTCTTGCCCCCTGACCTTTGCCACCAGACATCTCTCCCTTTGATCCCAGAAGTACTCCTTTTGGGGTGGTGCCATCTTGGAACTGGAAAAAAAATGAATTCATATACTAAAAGTCAAACATCTACTACAACATATAAATATTTTTGTCTTGATTTATGTGCATTTGCATAGTGCATATAGCGGTATTGCCTAATAGCTCAAAAATAAAGTCTTACTCTTGTATATTGTATGAGAGAGGATATGGGGTGTGGTTGGGAGTGTGTGCGTATGGTGGGGTGTAGGGTTTGTGAGGGGGTGTGGCTGTGTGGGGGGTATAGGGTATGTTGGGAGTGTAGGGGTGTATATGTGGGGGAGTTGTGGGGTTTGTGGGATGTGAAGCAGAGTGGGAGGGTATGGGAAACCTCCCACATGTCCCCCCCATGGCGCGGTGGCAGCAGACTGTGGGCTCTTGGGGTGCTTGTAGCCTGTGCAGATGTTATCTCCCTGCTGTGCATGGCTCCAGCCAGTTCCAGCTGCATGTGGCAGGAAGGACCAGAGCCAGGCCAGCCCACCTCTATCGCATGAGGCTCACATGCAGCTCCCAGGGCTCACGCACCACTGTGGGGAAGGCCCACCCAATGGAGCTGGCTGCCTTACCTGCTCCCTGCCACCATGTTTAGTTCCTGGGACTCCACTGAAAGTGACGGGGAGCCCCACAACTCAGGAGCTGCACATGGTGGCAGGGAGCAGGGAAGGCGGCTGGCTCCATCGTGCGTGGCATCCCCCCGGTGGCATGTGATTCCTGGGAACTTGTACGTCAGCCCTGAATGATAGGGGCAT